CTGTGGATATTGCGCTCGATCTTGAGAGGTCGAAACGACCACGAGGTAAGCACAGCCTTTCTGCTAGTCTTTTGATGAAGGATTCTGACGTTCTTTAGACAACCCAATCCCACGACCGGTTCCTAATGATGAGCTTGTATGTGACACGTCCAAGCCGTACAGCTCGGAGGATACTTGCTATCCTTTGGAGAAAACCTCTGAAGGTGGCTGGAGCATAAGCGAAATCTTTGGGCGCGCTCTCAGTGGAGTGTGCCCATTGGGTGACAGTCAAAGCTCAGAAGAAACCGTATGCTTACGTGTACCCGACGAACGAGGGGTGGCTGCATCCGAGGGCGCGATTGAGATAAGGAAGCCGGATGGCTTTACTCGCTGTTACACGCTACAGCCCTCCAGCGCATTCGACCTAGTCTTGCCTGAGCAGGAAGTCACAACTCATGTCCCTCTTGATGAACCAGTCTTGCGCGCAGAGCGTACCATCGTTGGTCACGGCTTCGAACGGGGTGGCATGCGGATCATCTTTGATAACCCATCCAATAGCGATGCAGTCGACTTCATTTATTTTGAGACTCTGCCTTGGTTCCTACGGCCGTACGTGCACACGCTACAAGCAACAATAACCGGTCGTGATGGGATTCGTCGACAAGTTCCCACTTCGCAGCTCATCAAAGAGACGTTCTATCGGCCCGCGATTGACAGAGAACGCGGCACACAGCTAGAACTAGCTTTATCTGTCCCTGCTGCCTCTACCGTGACACTCACATATGATTTCGAGAAGGCAATTCTGCGGTACACCGAGTACCCACCAGACGCCAATCGTGGTTTCAACGTTGCTCCTGCGGTGATCAAGCTCGGAGGGCATGAAAACCCGATCTACATCCGCACGACTAGCCTTCTTTTGCCGCTACCAACGCCGGATTTTAGCATGCCGTACAATGTGATCATCCTTACTAGCACGGTCATTGCCCTTGCATTTGGAAGCGTTTTCAATCTTTTAGTCCGCCGCTTTGTCTCTGCCGAAGAGGCAGCCGCGCTCAATTCACAGACCTTAAAAGGCCGCCTTCTGGGCAGAGTCGTCGCTCTACGAGATCGGATCAAAGGGAAGAGTGCAAAGGTCGAATAGCCTTGCCACACATAGAACCAGTAAGGCACATAAATATGACAGTTACACCTTGCATGTAATTTCTAAATCATGTATAATTGCAAGACAATATGATACAATCAATCACCCAAACACCGATCCCAGTGAACATAAGAAATTGTACCCTTTTAACATGTACCATAGCATCAGTCATTCAACTCAACCAAACCTACCACCCAAATCAGCACCCACACTCCTCAAAACCACCCAAACAGAAAAGAGTAGAGAATAAAAACTTACATATGACTAACGGTATCCTTCGCCTTCTCCCACCCAGGCAACGTCTCCGACCCCCCAGGCCTCGTCTTCATGAAACTATGGTCCTCCGTCGCACACGTTCCATCCTTAACACCTTCTTCCCGGTGCATCCTATCCATGTAATTATCCTCTGCGTGGGTCTTCTGATCCCTTAAACTTGAAAATTCGTTTGCGGACGAGTACGACGTCTTGATTTTGTCCTAGTCTAGTTCAGTTTCTACCCCATTCGAAGGTAATATGAGAGGAGGATTCAAGAGACGTACGGAGATATGGCCCGTTCCTTCGTCGTTTGTTCCGCCCTTGAGGAATCCGGGATCACCCCAGCCTCGGCCGCCGCCTACATTGTTGGCTGGGGTTGGTTCGGCGCTGGCGCCGCCTCGGGTGCCGGCGGCTGGGTGTTGGTTGGCGTGTGTGTGTTGTCCGGACATTTTGGGTGGTGTTCTGGGGTGGGAGTGTGTATGTTTAGTGGGTGGTTTGTTTCTTGGTGGGCTAGGTCGAGTGACTTAAAGAGTATATATAGTTCTTTTTTGGGGGTGGGAATCGATATAGGAAGTGCGTGTGTTTGGGAGGTCCGGTGCTCACCTAGAGTGTGGTACTAACCAAGTGTTTTTCAGTGTAATGCTGAGTAGTAATAAGTTTAGTTTAGTTGAAAGGGTTGTCTTTATACACGCAGAGATTCTGCATATACAGATACCGGGACATCTTGTTGTATATGGCGATGATATCACTGATATCATCATGACAGCATACTGAGCTTCTAATTGGTCTCCATGCCGCTGAGTCAGCCTGGTCATTGAATGCTACCAGACTCAGTAGTTAGGGCAAAATAACTACTACTTGGTAGGGGATCTATCTGCAAGTCGAGTGACGAACATCATGAATAGTCTGATGCATGTACATGAATTACATAGAAATGAAACGTCATACAATAGGGTCAGCGTCCATCATAAACCAACGTACGGAGAAACGATTCAAAATCTCCTTAGCAATGGGCCAAAGTGGTCCATTGCTAAGGACATAACTGTAGTAGCTTGGGGAATAGTCGTGCATGCAATAGCAATAGTCTTCCAAGAAACTATTAACTGGCGATGCTTAATTATTCTCGACTTGTTCCGCCCACGTAGCTCCGCTTGCAGATACCGGCGATAGGACGTCCTCCAACTTAGCAGCGGTAGTATCGGTACTCTCCTTCGTGGTGCTGCCTGGTAGAGCAGGGAATTCAGCTTCATTACTAACGACCGGAGCTAGTGCAGGCTTTTGCTCGATGGTCCGTGGCTCATTCGTTGCACCTTCAGGTATCGAATGATCTGGTCGAGGTCCACGTCCGTTTCGTCCACGGCCACCTCTCCCGCCGCGACCCCGGCCACGGTGATTGTTGTGGTGATGGGTGTCCGGCTCATCGCTGTGCTGCGAGTCTCCAAGGTCTCGTCTAGTATACCCCGAGACACCGCCATGCATCCCTCGTCGGTACTGGCCTCTACCTCCGCGAGGATTATAATCTTCCTCCTGCTTCTGCGAGTCCCACTCCCTCCCGTTCAATGCCTGAAGTTTCCGCTGCCGATTGCGCTCCCGTTCGTTATCCATTACACGGCGAGCCTGGCGTTCTTCGCGTCGTTTTGCTTCGGCGACCTTCTCTCGTTCAAGGAAGGAGGCTTGATCAGCCTCAGCACGAGCATGGGCGGCGGCTTTTCTAGCTGCGTTCTCTTTCGCGGCGGCAATGCGCTGAGAGAGCTCCTCCTCTGTAAGCTTGGGCTAAAGAACCGGTCAGCAGTTGCACTCCCACATAAATGGGACAGGACGTAGCATACCTTCTTGATACCTCCTGTAGCACTCCGATCCCCGCGCACAGCAGGCACCCGTGGACCACTAGCCTCGGCAGCAGGCTTCGAGTCCGAGTTTCCGTCTTCCTTCTTCGATTGTTCTGTCACCTCAGCAGACGCTGCCTCGGGCGCAGACTCCTCATTACTTTTCTCATTCGCAGTCGTCTCTTCCGAAGACTTCGCCCTTGAACCACCGTCACCACGCCGCGAAGCCGAACTCTGCGATCCCCGCCTGCCACGTCCCTTGCCCCTCCCACGTCCTCGCCTCTCACCTCCACGCGACCGAGGGGGTGTCTCAGTACGAGGAGGCGATGTTTGGGTATCCAATGTCAGCGTCGCGACATTCTCCTCTAGTGCCTGTACCTCCGGCGGGACCTCCGCCTCCGCTGCTACAGGGATAATCTCATCGTCAAATAGATCGTCGCCGCCACGAGTCTGTGCAAATTCGTCCATGGCAGCGGTGTCGGCAACAGGGTCGGCCATTCTGAGTGTCAATTGCGGTAAACGCGTGAGTCTGATATAACTTTCCGATAGCGGAATCTGAGGAAGATGCTCAGCACGCGCCCTCGCGGCGCAAACAATTAAGCCAATGAAAGCGATCCGTGCGAGTTCCTGGGGGGTGGTGTTGAGAGAGGGATCGGCGATTAGCGCTAGTGGGGAGTGTCAGTCAGCTTATCAGTTGACAGAAATTAATGCGCCAATCCAGGTGATTAGGTTTTGCGCAAGTTTTTGAACAAGGTGTATTTCGTATAGAGGGGTTATGGAAGGTATCAAAGGATAGTAAGTACTCTTTCCAGCCACTCGGCGAGTGGAACCCCCATGTTGCGATATGAGTGACCCCGATGCAGCTGCCCCAGTTCCAAGGCGGTCTGCCCGGTGGATCTGGCTTGTCTTGTCTGTGGAGGCTGCCTATGGAAGGTGTTACTTACATGTATCTCAACAGGCCTATGTATGGAGTCCTAGGTGCTCACTGAACCTCAAATCAGCGACAGACACAGTAAACCAATGGAATATAAGTGTGGCTAAAGCACGCGAAGGTTTCAAAAAAGTCGGAGCGTTTAAAAAAGTTTTGACTTTTTTGCTGCTTATTCCCGCCGTCTTCTGTCATCACCGGCACACTGCATCCCGAGAGTTCATCTTCAACAAGAAGTCGGGATACTTCCTCTGACCGAGTGATCAAGGCCAAATACTCCAAAATTCAATCCATCTAATTGAAATACCATCTCCTATGCACTGCCAGAGATACAGTGTTACATAATGGGGACAAAAACTCCGGATCTCCGGCGAAAAAATACAAACTTCTTCCCAACTTGATTCTAACCACTTCAGCCCGTGACAGTCGATTCTGTATCTTCGAAGCATTTGATGGTCTATATCAACATCTCGTACATCGGCCACCTACCTAGCAGACAAGAGGAACACAATAATCAATGACCTTCTGAGGTATAGCCTATCAAAGCAGCATGAATACTATGTTCTTCTAAAAGCGCGTCCAGTGATCTGCTAACCTTTAGTCCAGGAAGAGCTCTCCACAAGAACGGTAAATGGATGCATTGCATCGAGCAGTCCCCCTTGAGGGCTTATTCATCCCCCTCCATAACTACCGATTCGGAACGTCCGCCGAGCTATATAGAACCCCATATCATATGCCTGACTGGGTACACAAGGTTCTTCTAGTGAATCAAGAAGAGTGTCTTAGGTACTACTTCATTTGTCAAAAGAGTTGTCCCAGAAGCACTCCCGACCTGTACAGCACCGAAAGGCGCCCACTTGTCTCAACTACCGGCAAGATGGCGGAGTGGTTAACGCGTGGCACTGCTAGTCCCTGAAAGGATAGACATGCCATCCCTTCGGGGGCCAGAGTTCGAATCTCTGTCTTGTCGTAAATTTCTTTTTGGCTTTTTTGCGCTTCATTTTTGGCTATCTGATATCGGTATGTGCTGGACTAGCTAAGTAATACAAAACCAACAGCACTGTTCAACCACCTACTACTTGAGAAAACTGTATGGTCTTGGACATAGAAGAGAAACGACTTATAAGGATCTATCTTGCTGCCCTGGGTATCATAATATAGTACAAACATAGCTGAGCGAGCTTAGGTTCCTGCATGATGTGCCCTGTCGAAGGTGCTCCCCTATGGCTTATCAACCTCCATCGGATCGTCCGTCCCGGCTTCGGCAGTTGTTCCGGGTGTAGGTGTGGCAACTGCTGGGGTCGGTGTGCCAACCGCTGGGGTAGGAGTGCTGGGAACATCAGGAGAGGCTTTCACCTCGCTCACTTTATCGTTGCCGGTAGCAGCAGGCTCAGTGTCACTATTGCTGTCTTTCTTCCCAATCCCCCTTTTAGATGGTGGTGGTGGTGCTTGAGGATCTAAGAAACGCTCGGGGACTCCCTTTGCAGCAACCCCGGCAGGACCCACATAGCAGCCGAGCATTGAACTCCAGGTGTATTTCTGAGCGACAGCATTCCGGATTTCATGATATGCGTAAGAATTCGCAAAAGGGAGAGATGTTTCGGGGTCTCGGTACCGCGACGGTAGGGATGTAATGACACAGAGTGAGGAAGAGATCTCTGATTAGGACGTTAGTAAACCGGAAAACATAGATGGGACTAGAACGTGTGCTTCTACATACTGGTAAGCCTTGGCGGCTTCTTTGCATTGAAGTATATGCTGAACTCGCGGCTCTGGGCGGTCTTGTCATCGAAATTCTCCAGCACGGTGAGAGTTCTTCCCGTTTGTTCAATGACTTTTGGAGGTGGCGGGACTCCTGGTTGTGGTGTCTCCTCGCTCGTAGCAGCTGGCTGATCCGGTTGTACTTCAGGAGCCACTTGTTCCTGCTGAGTGGCTGCCGGTGTCTCTCCATGTTGATTGGGTAGCGCAGACACAATAGCGGTATCCGGGGCAACATCTGGAGCAGTGGTAGGCGAAACCTCCTGGGGCGCTGTAGTTGTCTTAGAGGCCAGTTGAGCTGTTGCGGGTTCAGCAACTGGTTCTTTCGATGTGCCGTTGGTATTCCCTTCTGAAGGCGGTTGGGTTCCCTGTCCCTCTGGTTTAGGCGTGGGGGCATCACTCGATATATCCATGTCTTGTGTAGCCAAGGCTGGATCTTTCGGGGTGTCTTCTGGCTTCCCATCCGCACGGTTTTCTGACCCTTGTTCCTCCTTTGGAGCTTCCTTTGGAGCCTCCTCTGTAACTTTACCCTCGGTTGTCTCGTCTGGCAGCCCTGTTGAATCCTTCGGCGGCTCTGCAGTTGCAGCTATCTCAGCACCCTGTGTGTCATCGGGGAGGGATTTAACTGCTTGGGCAGTTGGAGGCGCCGAGGCTATAGAGGGATCTGTAGCAGTAATAGTTGCACTTTCGAGTCTTGCGCTATTCTGCTGAGGAGCGGTGTCTGTTTTCTCAATTTGAGGGGTATCTCGTTTTTCTTTCGAATTGTCTTTTGAAGTATCTCCCTCGGCGGGTACAACTGGATCTATAGCGCTTTCAGAAGTCGGTTTGGGCGTGGGCTCCCCCGTGGCAGCTTCGGATGTAGAATTGTCAGCGGCCTTTGGCTCTGTTACAGCTTTTCCCTCCTTATCCGACTTCTTGCTTTTCTTGCGTGTATTGTCCTCTTTCTCTGGCTTCGCTGTGACGTCGACCTTACCCAAGCGAATTAATCGGCCATCTGCCCAGGTAGCTATACCGCTCCAGTAAGACATAACAGGGCCTTCCAGGCGACGATTTTGAAGTGCCTCAATCTTGGCTTTTCTTTCTTCTGCCTTCCTCTTCTCCATCTCCTCCCACCGATTTAGACTTTTGCTATTGTGTTTCTCGACCCTTTCAGCTTCTGCAAGGCGCTCGGCCTGTGTCATCTCCTTGGGCTTCAGGTGTGCTTTCCTCTTAGCTGCTTCCTCCATCGTCGCTATAAGCCGAATGCGCTTCTCCTCATTATCCTTAAGCCGCGCATGCGTAAGTTCCTTATTCTGCATCGTCTGACGACGGGATGATGATCGTGTAGGTCCCTCCTCGGGCGTAGGAATCCATGAGATACGCTCCGACTTCTTCTTCGGTCGAGGGGTGGCGGGTACTACAGACACGGCGGTGGGATCGATCTTCACCTTCTTACTCGCTATTTTGTATCGAAGATCTTGTTGGGCCCTTCGCTTCTTCTTTTCGGCCTTCTCTTCCTTTTGTATCTGAGTTTCCCCCTCGAAGTCATCGGCCCGAGCATTGGGCCCTTGGTCCTCGTCGTCGGAAGACGAGTCCAACCCCATGTCATCTTCTTCGGGCCCTTCCTCTCCTGCCGCTACCGAGAACTCATTATCATCGTCGGCTTCCTGGAATAAAAGTGAAAGTTCGTCATCTGCTTCGGCATCGAGGAGTGCGGACATGCGGAGTCCTGCGGTGCTTCGTTTTGCCCGTCCCTGGATGAGGGACTGCACTTGCTCCTCATCTTGAGTGGGAGGTTGGCCCGCAGTATCGTCCGCCATTATTGGGACAAATCTAGGGAGCCAAATGTTGGTGTTTTAGGTGTAGGATAGGCCGATGTTTCATCAAAAGCTAGTGGTGAATACAACGTCCGGGAGAGGGAGGGCGACGGGACCCGGCGTGGCGCGTAATATTATCCAGGATCAAGGGAGTATTGGGGTCGATTGTTGAAAAAACCAGATTCTCGTTGGCTGTGCGAAGCTATGAGGGGGTAAAGGAAACGGAAGAAGAGAGAGGAGACGGTGACGGTGACCTAAAAAAGTTGGATGGAGTAAAGGCGAAGTGTAAAGGCGGACGGCTGCTGTTCCATTAGGACGGTTCGAAGACCAACGGGTAGTGGAATTGAATGTCTGCTTTGATGAACCAGGACCAGTATTTAGAAGTTAGTACCTATACATAGTCCGCGCCGCAGTGACGAGAAGATATTCTTTAGGTAAAGAACTTGCACTAGGTGAGTGCTCCGGAAAAGAAGAGGCAACGTGTAAATTGTGTCTTAAGGTTATGTTAATTGTAAAGTAAGCTTTAACCAATCAGGGGGCAAGATGGCGGAGTGGTTAACGCGTGGCACTGCTAGTCCCTAAAGGATAGACATGCCATCCCTTCGGGGGCCAGAGTTCGAATCTCTGTCTTGTCGCTGACCTCTTGACAATCTTTTTTTCTCTTCAACCCCATACTGGACAGAAAATCCCTACATGCAATTAAGAATATAGCATCAGGCAATCGAGATGCTATGCCGGCAGTCCCTCGTTATCTATTTCTTAAAAAACGTAGCTTGGTTTTTGGGCTATTCTAGTTCCACCTACTGTTAGAATCTGACGCAACCTGATTTAAGGGAATATACTGTTGATGATAAAAATGTGCTCAACTAATGACGTCTGGGTGCCAGCCAGGATTATCTGAGGATATCGAAATTAGCTATGAGGTGGGGCTACTCTACTGCAGGAACACCTTTTATATCAAGGATGCATATTCAGAGCAATCGTCGAATGTCCTGAGCTTGAGATTAGTACAGTGAATGCAGAGAGTTCCCTACTTATCTAGAATTGACCAAGGCAACCTTAGGAAGGATATTGGTGTAATCACATCCTTTTGTTGACACATAGGGTAGTTACTAAGAGCTTACAGCAAAAAGCATATTGCGAGATACCTGAGGTAGAACAATGCATGATATAGTCTGTTTGAAATTAAACCAAAGATAGATGCAGGATAGTGTGACTGGGGATTATAAGATGATGATATACATTTACTACTAAGGCAGCCACCTTCACCTACTCACCTGGCTAGTTTGAACACACATGATCTTTATTGCTAGTGTTGGCAGGTGGTGCTCTGTATCTAGCACGGTGTATCAGGAGGGAAGGCAATGCTGGAGAGGGTTCGCTTATAAAGTTAGGAGTTTTGCACAATTTCAACCATCGGGCAAGATGGCGGAGTGGTTAACGCGTGGCACTGCTAGTCCCTGAAAGGAAGACATGCCATCCCTTCGGGGGCCAGAGTTCGAATCTCTGTCTTGTCGAGAATTTTTGGTCCCATGCTCTATTGGATATATATATATCTTTTTTTTTTAACTTGAACTATATTTTAAATTTATCGATAGGATGATTGACGGAAGGGAGGCGACATACTTCGTACATCTTTATACAATAAGCCATCCCCCTATAGTGTGGTGGTCCATTTACTTACTCTATTCCCTATCGATGCAATGCCGGCATACATTAGGTAGTCATGGTTGTCCCTGCGATATGGCCTCTTCCAATTGGTAGTGGTTACTTGGAGTGTGGTATTGTAAGCTAGTGCCTACCTTTATTGATTAGGAGGGGGAGGGGGTTATTTACTTGCAAGTCGGTGATATGGAATGTACTTGTCACAGCGTATATATATATAGGTGCATGTGTACACTGTTTGGAGGATGTGGGGAGTCAATTAACCACCACTGCATACCACTAGATGCGCCCATCACATACTGCATCACACCACAGAAAACCAAGAGCGGGGTTCCATCACCTGGAAGAGCCACTGCATCTGTACTCCGTCACGGTACTCTCTCTATCATATCACCTCGCAGCGAGATCCCATGTCAAACAGGAGGCAGGTGAGTGGAATGCGGGGGTTAGCATGTTTCAGAGCTGTCAACCCGGTGGAACTAATCCAAATTAACTCACACCCTACGCAGCCGTCTCAAAGTTGGAACTGGCAAGGCATCCTGGTATGTCATTGTTGGCATGCATTACAGTTTTCCGGGGGCCCGGTCCATGGAAACATGATGGAATTCGAACTTTGACCAGTTTTATATGATACCATGAGAGACTCAATAACCAGGGGCACGATTCGACATCTCCAGTCCAGTCAACCTGGAGAAACTCAGCTCTCTCCCTGAAAACAGGCTATCAAATACACACACTCCTTAGCCCGGGC